ACACACACACAAAATAAATAAATATTAAAAAAAAATATTAAAAACTTATCTTCTTGGGGCTGGTGAGATGACTTAGTGGCCTAAAGCACCTACTAAGAACAAGCTGAGCAAAGCACAGGGACCCTGGTTCAATCCCCCAGCACCACATGCCAGCCAGCCCCGCCCCCTGGTGGGCTGAGCTGGCCACACACACACACCCACCCACCCTTATCTTCTGTTGTCTTGCTCATCAATATTACTCATCTCAACCACTATCAACTGTGACCCCAGCTCATTAATTCCTACCCAAGATACCTTTGATGAGTAGTTGATTCAAGGGTGAGGCAGGAGAACCTCAAATTTGAGGATAATCAAGAAAATTTTTAATTTTAATTTTTATTTTTATGTGTGTGGCCAGCTCAGCCCACCAGGGGGCAGGACTGGCTGGCATGTGGTGCTGGGGGATTGAACTGTGGTCCCTGTGCTTTGCTAAGCTTGTTCTAAGTAGGTGCTTTAGATCACTGAGCCATCTCACCAGCCCCTAATCAAGACAATTTAAAAAGGAAAAAAAGCACTAGGGATGTAGCTTAGTGCCTCCTAGGCTTGGTCCCCAGTACTGAAGCAAGCAAGCTGGGCATGGTGCCGTACATCTGTAATCAACCTCTCTGGAGGCCAGCCTGGGCTACAGAGTGAGTTCAAGGCCAGTCTGAGCTACATATTTCTCAAAGAAGGAAACAAGTAAGTAGCCGGATGTAGTAGTGCATGCCTGTGATTCTAGCATTTGGGAGGTAGAGGCAGGAGGATCACTGTGTGTTCAAGGCCAGCCTGAACTGAATGAGCTCCTGTCTCAAAAACTAACAAACACAACAAAACAAAATTTAGCTAGGGTGTTGGGTTTTTTTTGCCGTAATTATTAGTCTTAGAGGCATCATTTGTGTTAGTCCATTTTCCATATCTTTCCTCAAGTATCTTGTTTTAAATATTAATTCCCTTTCTCAGCTTTTTTGTTTTTGGCGGAACCGGGGTTTGAACTCAGGCCCTTGTACTTGCCAGGCAAGTGCTTATTCTACTGAGCAATTTCCCGGCCCCTTAATTCCCCCCTTTTTAAAAAAATTTTATTTATTTGTGTGTGTGTGTGTGTGT